CCTTCCACTGACACGTTCATGAACAATTAAGAAGGCGCTGGCATCAAAATGAGCAGAATGGATATCAACAGATTGGAAGCTGATCCCGAAAAGAATAGTGCAACACTCATTTAAAAATTTTGCACTGCTAACGTTGTCGATGGCTTAGAAGATGATATATTTTGGTATAATGAAGATAAAGACGGCTTGGAAGAATCAGACTCTGAATATAAGTGGACTGATATTGATTCAGAGGCAAATATTAACGGCTCAGAAGAATCAGACTGTGATATTGATTCAGAAGGAAGTGATGATAAAAAAAGTTACTGATAAATGGGTACTATATTGTAACAAAATTTATTTAGATTAGTTTAGCGTTTTACTTTATTTTTCTTAAAATCAGAGCTTTCTCTTTGTTGGTAGTACTGAAGTTAAGATGACGTTTTGCAATCGAAGAAATACGGTATATATATGTACAACCGTGCAGGAAGAGGTTTTGCGTTGTACATACATTAGTTAATTTGAACTTCTGTGCACTGTGGCAGCTTTAGTTGATCCAGATGTAATGAAACATTTTATCACTGTTGACTTCTAAGTTAAACTTAGATTGTCTGACAATCAGTTGCATTTAAACTTATGAGGTTAGACTGCATTAGCGAAGGATTATTTAAGCTTGTTTGGTACGAGCACTTCCGCTGCTAATCGAAATTGCTGCAATGTTTAAATCTCGCTGTAATTGATAACATCGTAAGAACTTCACCAGATACCCTTCAATAGGTCGATGCATCACTCGGTATTCAGCTGTAAGGCAAACGAGTGGTTTTCTAACCTCCCGACTTTGCAGCAAGAACTAGTCATTAATATGCTTTTTTGGCCTATAAAAGCTAAACTGAAGCTTCACGGCGGTTAGCTCTGTTTTGCGACTCTTTCCGCGACCGTCTCACGTTAGCGAGGAATGAGTGGCGAAAGTTTATGGCGGAGCTGTTACTCTTGCGTTTAGGTAATCGACGTCGGTGAAGACATCGTCCGGTACGAAGACCACGTCGGCAACTGGTGGCAGCATATGATTTCCGGTGGAATCGCTGGGTCCGTTTCGCGCACTTTTACGGCGCCTCTCGATCGCATTAAAGTGTTTCTTCAAGTACCTTTACACTGACCCCCTTCCACCGCGCAATCTGCGTTCTCAAGTTTGCCCTTTGAGGTGCATGCAAATCGGGTGAACAAGATCGGCTTCATTTCCGGCATGAAAATGCTCTATAGCGAAGGCGGACTGCAGTCGATGTGGCGAGGAAA